TACTTGAAGGTGTTTGAACACAGGTTAACGCGTGACTGCAGAAAAAACTAGTTACTGAATACGTAGCCGATCGAATTACCGCCGTGCATAGAAACCTGTTTTGGGATATAGCATGCAGAACCACCATGGAACCAAAAAGGAAGAGTGGAGTCACAGCGTAAACAAAAGTTTTCAGCAGGTACGTGGAAATGGCGTCCCATTTCCATATCCTCGGATACATCGCCAGCTTCGTTGACCAGGCGACGATGCATCCTGCCTGGTCCCCTGCCTCTTTTTTAACCCAAAGGGAAATTGAATTACTTTGCAACGTGTGGAAACCTTAGAAGCAGGACATTCGAACTCATTCTGCCCATTGGAAGACATTTGTGGTCAGACCCCTTCACAGTTGGCCAGGATGTCATGGAAACGTGCAGCATTGCTTGATGAGGAGTCATCAATGCAGGTGTTACTTGATGAACCTCCTCGCTCTTCTCAGTCCAAGCAGCGAGATTGGAAGAGAGCTGCTCTGACTGCAGAGGAAGCTGAGGCACCACCTCCATTCACGATGGTTGACTGGAAGAGCTGGCAATGCTAGGCCCTTGAAGAAAAAAGCTGGAAATGCATGGAAGAAGCAGCTGTTGTTGAGCAGTGCAATTAGCAGTGATGATGACAACATTGCACCAGGAGAATGAGATCATCACAGTGCACCTTTCCTTCGAATGCTACCTGTTGAAGACAAAGCCTCGTCCAAATATGCTTTGAATGGCATGAGTCCTGATCGCATCAAAAACATGTGCTCTTCACCTTGCCGTTGCCAACGAGGTTGCCTTCAACAGTTCTCTACACGACTAGGACAGGAGAAACCGACGGAAAGGCACCAACACACAAGTGTGTTGAGTGCGACTTCCTTCCCCTAGTTAGAGGGTGGGATAAGAAGTGTGAATTCGCGTGCAAGGCGGATGTGTGGCTCTAAGGCACTGCCGTAAACGGCGCTCCCTTGACTAAAGCTTCGCCTGAAACCTAAAAGCCTCGAGCAAAATCTCTGAAACCTCGAGAGCACTGCCGATGCAAACATGTGGATGAAAGAGACTCCGCAAGCCCGGCGGCATCGAGTCTCCGTAAACTCGGCAGTTTTGTGGTCAGAAGATTCATGGGGTGAGACACTTAGTCCAACGCATGCAGAAAAACGCTGAGTCAAACTGTGATCCACGATGGTTTCGGCGCTCCCTTGCGGGAGATCACACCCTGCACCCAAGTGGGACGGCAGAGCTCTCACACACTTTGAAAAAAATCGGTTTTCACTTAACTCAATTCCCCGACGAAATGGGTGAGGGGACGGAATGGCGGCTGGGTCCAGTGACTTGAAGGTGTTTTAACAAAGCAGTTTGCGCGTGACTGCAGAAAACTAGTTACTGAATACTTAGCAGACCAAGGAAAGGAACAAGTGAACCGAAAGGCGAAAAGTCAGAATTCTTGAAGGTGTTTGAACAAAGGTTAACGCGCGACTGCAGAAAAACTAGTTACTGAATACGTAGCCGATCGAATTACCGCTGCGCATAGAAACCTGTTTTGGGATATAGGATGCAGAACCACCATGGAACCAAAAAGGAAGGGTGGAGTCACAGCGTAAACAAAAGTTTTCAGCAGGTACGTGGAAATGGCGTCCCATTTCCATATCCTCGGATACATCGCCAGCTTCGTTGACCAGGCGACGATGCATCCTGCCTGGTCCCCTGCCTCTTTTTTAACCCAAAGGGAAATTGAATTAATTTGCAACGTGTGGAAACCTTAGAAACAGGTGGTGACACACACGCACACACTGGGGATCAAGCACGTTGGTTGCGCCACCGCCCAGTTCGGCCTAAGTGAGAAAGGGTGGGGCCAATGTGCCAATAAGTATGCCAAGATATGCCAAGTATGGTGGAAGGCGGTCTTCAACATAAAGACCTTTACTCCAAGGCTCCGAAGCTCCCAAACTCCAAGCATCACGGAGCCGAACGGCAGCAGCACAACCCGCCTCCAAGCCTGAAACGGCAGCACGGACTGAAACGAGGTGGATCGTTTTTTACGAAACGCCACAAACCGAATTGCAGGTACGTCTGTTTTATCAGGCCAGATATCAGCACGGAACGTGACCCTCTTGGTTGGATCACCAATCGAGCCCGTGGGTGATCCCCCCGCAATGCTTAAAATCCAACGACAAAAGTGAAGAAGGAACCGTCCAATCAGTTTGACAACCAAAAGGTTCCCTATGATTGCAAAGGCTACACACATGTCAGTGGTATACACATCTTGCAGTGTAGTGCAGTTATATAAATATAACTAAATATATAGATACTCATCAGAACTTGTCTGATCGTTTTCTTGTAGTTGCAGATGGCGGAAGTCCAGCCAAACCTAGTTCTTTCTCACAGATTTGGTCTCAACATGTCTCACGTCGCTGGCGCCGGTCACAGGTGAAGGGCGGACGGTCTGGCTACCAACTGTGGCCACTTGGTTGGAGTTGGCAGGCGAACCGGTGTGTAACACAAGATGCAGAGTTTTTGGAGCCGAAACTGGTAGGGTCACGTTTGTTAGGTCCGGTAGTCTTTCTTTTGGGGCTTTTAATTGTGCCTAAAGGATGTTTTGAGGTTATTGATGGGTGCTCTTCGTGTTCATGTGATCTTGAATTCCCGTGGGCTACAGCGCTCCTCCCCCCCTCTCCCACCCTCTGCCGGTAGCGTTTTCCAGGGTTCCAAACCACCCCCCAACAGTATCTTTGGTCATTTACAGTGGTTTCAGAATAGATGGCACACTCCCCCAAAGATGGTTTATATGGACCCCCATCTAAAGGACATCTTGGGGTGCCAGTACCATCGAACCTCTGAAATCACTGTCAGTCACTGTGGGGCCTATCGTAAAGCAGGATTCAGCAGGATCCAGCTTTTTGGCCTAGTGGTGGGTACTCGATGGTACTCGTACTGTTTCAAGGGTCTTTAAAGGCTGCTTTGCCCTGAAAGTCAAGTCAACTATTTCAAAAAGGGTCTTTGGAGATCTTGAAGTTTGGAATTTCCTTTTCTTGGGTGGGGTCAAACATAGGACGGTTTACCTGTAAACATAAAGTCTTGGGTGGTGTCAAACATAGTCTTTGGACTTCGGGAACCAAAGCACCTGTAAGACGTCTTGAGAGTCGGTGGCGGTTGGGGGCGCGGGGAGTCTCCGTCGTGGCGGCCAGAGACTCCGGAGACTCCGTTGGAGCTGAAGACCGGGTCTGGCGGATGTAGAGTCAGTACCAACAGCCTCACAAAGCAAACACCTTTGCGGGGGGTCTTTTTCCCCAAACAGTTTACTGTTGGGGTTCTATCTTAGAAAAAAAGAGCTGGCCACACTCACTGGCCGCGCCCCTGAACTCTGTGGCTGGGCTCTGCGGCTGGGCTCTGCGTCCAGGCCTTGTCCTCCTCTTGTCCTTTGTGGCTGGGCTCTGTGGCTGGGCCTTGTCCTCTGTGGCCTGGCTCTGTGTCCGGGTCTTGTCCTCCTCTTGTCCTTGTCTTGGCCGCGCCCCTGAACTCTGTGGCTGGTCTCTGTGGCCCGGTTTACTGGAGAGGAGTGTGGCCGAACAAATAGCGATGTCAATGCGTTTGCCCTTGGGGTGAAGGTAATTAAGGCGTACCAAGAAATCGTTTTTTGACTAATGTTGGTCTAAACGAATCGTTTTGAAGCTGTTTGGGGTCTATGCCGGTATAATTTTATTCGTGGACCCCGCAACAAACAGTGTTTTGGTCTATTTTCGGTCCTTGGGAGGTCTCCCTATTTTATTTGGGATATGCTTCGTTCAACTAGTCTTGCAGCACACGTCGTCAGGGCGTTCCTGACGACCATTACAGCGTCCGACTTGGATCCATGAAGACATGATCCCCAGCTCTGAGGTTTTGCAAGGAGAAGTCCGAGAAAGTGCAAGAGCCTTTAGTTCAGGACAGATTGATCAGATTTCTTCAAGCCTCAAGGCAAGCGTCCTCAACCTGAGATCAAGAAACATGATGTTTTTGTGGTGAATGAATGGTGGTGAAGGAGTTTTTTCATCGGAAAATTGGACATCATTCAACATCATGGAACTGTGGAAGAGCTTGTACGGAAAAGACGCCAACGTCAACGTCAACGGACCATGGACTTGGCGAAGAAAAGAGACCGGAAAATCGATGGAAAACGTGGTTTCTATCTATCACTCCCTGGTCAGAACCGTCGGACCCGACTCGATCCGGTCACGCATGGTCCCCGCACGAAAGAAGGGGAGAGGTCCGTCGTTCCGGTCGTCACGTCAGGCCCGTGACGTCCAGTCGTTATCGATGACGGGATTCCTTGCTCTGCTCGTCGATGACGTACGTTCCCCCACCACGTGGACGCGAACAATGCCATGGGATCCATGGTCCATTTCATCGGCTTCCGACTCCGGGCGCTCCATGGGGGGTAGAGAGACCTTTCGGGGAGTTCTCCCCGCGGGCAAGTGCACGGAGAACGCTTAATTGGTACATCAAGACCATCAAAGGCGGTTCCAGCTTGTTGATGGATGTTGATGATAAGCGTTATGAGAAGAAACGTGCGCTTTCGTGCTTGGCCTCACTACCGAGACTCGTGAACAGGTTTCCCCTTTCTTGGAACAACGATGCAGAACATTAACACTGTTTTTTTTTTTTTGACCTCTTAAAGCTCCAAGCTACAAATGGGTGCCGTTCCACTTCCAAGTTTGTGTTTTTTTTCCTAGCCAAAATAGAATACGTATGAGTATGTGACTACAATATGCAGGACTCCCAAGCCATGGTCTTGAGTCTGTGTGTGCCCCACTGTGGTTTGTATTGCTTTGTTTAAAGACACAGCTTTGCTGCCAGGATCAGCTGCATACAAGAAAGTGACAGGTTGGGAGTTGGGAATATCGTGATCCGGTAATCTGAAATAGATCGTGGCACGGTTTCCAAGACATTTTCTACGAGGGGATCTGCATTTCTACCTATTTAGGGGACCACTATAAGTCTTTCTCTGGGACACCGGTCAAGGATCCGTTTTCTTCGCCGTTTGACGCCAGGACGTCAGCAATACCCTGGAGCACATGAAGGGCTTTCTCGGCGAGAAGGCACCTGTTTCACCGTGTTTTGGGAGATTAGATACTCAAGCTTCGAGATTTGGGAGGTGTTTGGGATGTTTTTGTACATAGTAACATTTACAACTGATATATGTCCCACTATATAGATAGATACTATGAGGTAATCACCCAAGGTACACCACCAACTTTGGTAGCGTTCCTGAAGAGCTTAGACTGTGACTGATCCTTCTGCAGGGTGTAGATGCTCAAGAAGGGTTACTACTAGGGCACCATCCGGAACTTTTTAAAGAGGGCTTGTACCATTTGGCCGCCAACGGCATTTCTTGTGTCTTCTGGAACCCACCCTTCAGACGCCTTTCGCCTGGAACACCTGGAACATTCACCTTGGTTTGATCACTCCCGGCTACAAATGAGGCAACACTTGGTTTAGTAAGCCCTTTGGTCACTAGCACTTTTGCCTTCTCCTGGTTTCTATAGATGAAACGATTGAGCAATTCAGGACTTAGTGTAGGAGCAGAGATGGGCAGATAATGTTCTGGTTTGGGCCTTGGAGGGTGGACGTCTCGCAAGAGGGTGGGCCTACATATCATACAATTACTCTTTTCCCAAATCCTATATACGTCAATAATCATACATATATAATAATTGATTATATATGTAACATATGATTCTTGACAATTGTTGTTGACTAGAAAAAAGGCCAAGTTTGAGTCTATTTTCTGTTTTTGTTGGGCCTCCCTTTTGCAAAAGGTCATGACTCGACCAGGGCTCCAAACGGTCGCCGTCCCGCAGCAAGCAACACCAAACCCGCCAGGAGAAGACCAGTTGATACCCGAGGCAGTGGATGTCAGCAGTTCCTGAGGAAGACAGACATGATCGATTCCCGGTCAAAAAAACCACTAGGATCCACTATACTTCGGTCCATGGCATCGACACTAGGGTCGGACATCCCATCCAACACCTGGCATCCCATCCTCCCGAGCGTCGACCTGTCGGTCTGAACCCCTCGGCGGAGCATCTCATTGTCTCACCGAGTTCCGCACGGAGCAAGCAGCGGCGCAAGCAACGGATGACAATGACCAGCGGGATAGATGAGGAACCAGAGCATGTTAATCCAGTTTTACGAGTAGCCAATGTTTAAATCCCCATGGTTTAATCCAATTTTACAATTTTAATCCAGTTTATATAATCCAGTTTAAGCCAATGACCAGATGTTTTACTTAGGCCCGCGACGGGTCGTCCTAATAGGCCTACTTCAAATACAGCTTCGAAGGTATCCTGGTTGTGACCTCAGCCATATTTGATGCCAGGTTGATCTCGCTAATCTGCAGACTCTACACCGCCTCCCCCACTGGGTTTTAAGGAGCTACAGTGGAGCCATTTGTCACCCAGATCATAGACTTGTATATATGCTGTGCATTCGTTCTGCACGAATACAAGACAAATTTAGCCAATCCTTCCTGGCCCACCATTGATTTAATAGTCTATTTCCCACCATCTACTCCCACCATCTACTCCGAATTTGCACTAAATTTAAAAACCAGGTTACATGGATGTGTTTCCTGACCATTTTCTTGCAACAACACCAGCAGCCATACACTCCATACACCTACCACTGGGAAGAGAACACTTTCGACCTGGAGCCAAGCGGCTCCCGGGGGTCGCTGGGAAGGCCTCGGCCGGCGGACTCCTACCGCGGCTCGGACGGTGACCGAAACAGACCCAGCTTTGAACAGGTCGGACGGGGACTTGAGACAACTGGGTTGCTGGTCTTCAGCTTGGCCACTGAAGCGACTTAGACTTAGACTTGATCGTCCGCAAAACTGGGCTTCGATGTTTCTTTTCTTAGAATATGTGGGGTCATGGGGTGACAGCCCCGAAGAGATGTGAAAAGTTTATAAAAGTTTGGGAGACGGCCTGGGCGCAGGTGTAATCGTTACAAACACATGCGTGTTTTTTGTTTGTTTCTTTTCTTGTTTGTGAGCACTTTGTGATCGTTTGTGAAATATGTGTGATTATTTTGTGAACTGTAAATTTGTTGTGAATCAGGTTTAGCAACAGGAGCAGGACAATCACATTTGATTCACAACATATTCACACATTTGTTGCAACAAGATCACGAAAATGACATGTCCAACGTTTGGAAAGTCAAGTCTCAAGGTCAGACTTGTAGGGGACCCATAGACTGTACCAAGTAGCGATGCATCCACCGGTGTGGTCCTTGGAAGTCATTTTCTTCTCATCGCCAGCCGCGATCGCATGCAGCGGGACGTTAAGCTGCTGGAGCCCAGCTGCTCCAGAGATGTCTTCAGGATTGGTGCCCTAAAAGACCTCCAGATAGGGGATTCTTTGTGGATTTGATATGATTTGAGGCAAAGTCCAACTTGTCCAACAACAGGGGAAGCAAAGTCCAACAGCTTCACCAGCTCGCAGGGGAAAACCAAGTCCAACCGCTCTTCACCGGTCGCCGGGCCTGCTCCGGGCGTCTCATCCGGACGTCTCACAACCGGTCGGGTTGGGCCGTGTGACCTCGGCCGTGCAGTTGAGAGCAACAACGTCGAGAGCAGCCATGTGAGTTATCTCCACGCCTGGTGAAAAAATGGTAGACTTTTTTCCTGCCAAATGAGCGTTCGTTCGTGTTTGGTTCCATAACTAGCTTTTGAAAGTGGTGCTCAAGCAGCCTCCATGGACAGGTCTCAACTCCTTCGACGAGACTGTTTGTAGGTGCTTTGAAACCAGTCTTGGGCTCCTGTGAGAATGTTCTGTGCAAGCCAGGTTCCATTTGCTGGACATCGAATTTGAGTTCGTACCCCCAACCATGCGTTGAAAGGTGGAAATGCTTCGATGCACAGCCACCTGTAGAGATGAACAAGCGATTTCATTGACATTTACAGATTTTACATGTATCTATGGCAGCCCCCTTTGTTCCCCAAAAATGTGAGAAGGTAGTTGAATCTCCAACCCTGGTTCACATCCCAACCTTCCGAGAGGGTCTGTGGATCTCCAACCCAAGCAATTCTTCCAGACGAAGAAGAAATAACTTTTTCGTCACCAGGTTTGGATTCAGGCCATCGACAAACCCTCACCCTTGTTGCTAGTAGCGTCCTTGCTCCTAGTAGCGATGCCCTTGTTACTAGTAGCGTTCTCGTGCCATGCCTGGCCACTCGGCCGAGAGTGCCGAGAAATTCGTGGTCGCCGCCAGAACAACCACCCGCGCACGGGTTCGGTGGTGCTTCCAAGCGCAGCGCTGGTGGTATGCAACGCGAAAGAGATAGAGGATCCCCAGATAGAATCCCTAATATAGCCCAATCAAATTCATTCAAATTCCAAAAATCCCAATGAAGTCACCGAATTATACTCCAGAGATGGTACTGTCTGTATAGAGGATCCGAAATGTGTGAATCCCTGTGAAGGATCTTTTGCAGCTGTAAGATCGCGTAGACCAGAATTTGTTTCGTACAAGTTGGGTGTCGCTTTGGACTTTTTGCTGCTCATCATCGTTTTCCAATCACCAAATCCCATTTTTCTTGGGGGTTTAGCAGATCTTAGCTACCAGATTTTTCTAACTTGTCACCCACCAGTGTTGCATCCGTAGGTCATCATCTGAAGTCTGTCTCTGATTTGCCCATGCACCTTATTGACTCGGTCGTTCCGAGTGCCGAGGACTGGACGTGCTGCTCTTCCGTTCTATAAGTAGGAGCATGTCACCATGGCATGCCGCTGTGATGGCATGTCACCATGTTACTTCAAAGGCTTCGTAGAAGGTCAAACTTGCCAGCCATGGATCAGAACAGAGAAAACGGAGACCCTTTCCCCCATGATGAAACACGGTCATCGTCGGAACAAGGTTTGCAGAGGGCGGAGCAGACATGAGCAGATCAGAAGATGGCAAATTCTAGGATGCATTTGGCACAAACTTTTTTGCCTGCAGTCAAAGAACCACAGGAGATCAAAAGACGCGGACCGTGCGCCTCCGACGCCGTCGGACCAAACCATCGGTCGTCTTGGAAGGCGCTGACTCAGCGGTCTCAGCGCGCAAGCGAGCGTTTGGGGAAGGCTGCCGATCTCAAGAGCTCCGAAGGTGTTTGGATTCCAAACCCATCCCAGTCTCACCAAGTCAGAAGGTACGACTGGAGCCCTAGGGTTACTTTTGAGCATTTCTAATCAACCCAACCCTTTCGGTTCGGAGCCCAGAGTCTTGGAGAAGAACATCAGAAAGGCTTTAGAGAGGCCGGTTCGGTGAATCTGGCCCCAGATCCTTATATACTGTAAGACTTAGAACTTAGAACGTTTTAGAACAAGTATATACATGGAACATGATATTTTGCCAGCATATGATCATTTTGCCAAATTGAAAACCATGGAAACTGAAAGATGAAATGGTTCCGCTATCAAAGACGCTCCCGTCCGACGAACAGATGACGATCACTCGGACCCACCGAAGATTGACAACGATAGTGACAACGATATATACTTCTCATCTCTCAAAAAGCACCACGGCACCACGGCATTTTGAAGCTCTCCGCCGTCCCCGGTCGCACTGCACGGTGCTTTGGGGCCAAAGACCACCCTCGCTGCGGACCGGACCACCTCTCGGCCAATGGCGGTTTTCGGCACCGCTCCCGTCTCGATGTGCGAAAACGGCGAAACCTCTCTAGCAACAGGTGGATTTGAAGGAGGTGGGTTTGTTTGGATCTATGATGAGTCATACAAATGTATCATATATTATCATATGGTATTCTGTTCAACCACACCGCTCCAAACGCACGTTTTCATCCGTTGTCTGGGTCGTCCCGCCGCCAGCATTACGCCTACAACGCCACGTTGGACTTTTCCATGGGCTCCTTTTCAGTTGGGGTACCCCAGCCGGACCGGGCCTTGGCGCTTCACCGTCTTAGCTTGGCATTGGGTGGTGATGCGTGGAAAATGGAGCGGGTGGAACATGGAATCTTGGGAGTGGAGATTGCGTACGATTCCTGCATTAAGATGCGGCTTGTTTCCACCCAAGAATTTTGGAAGGCTCAGCCAGGCTCGGCTGGGAAGGTGCTTGGTGTAAGGCCTTTCATGTTGTCAAGTTCACCAGGAAGATGCACAGGGATAGGGCTGCCCCCCAAAGAATCAGGAATTGAATGGTGTCTTGATTCTTCACTCTACGGTACACAGACAGTGCACTGTGCACAGTCTATTGGTTGGCCTTTAATTGGAACCCGAGAAGCAATTATAATTAAATGGCATCAGAATTGGCTCTTCCATATGTTGGTTCCATGTGGGGGTTCCTTCTGGGAATCTATTAAAAGAACCGTGGGCTTCCGTAGAGGGCGTGGGCTTCCGTCTTGGCGTCCACGTGAATCCTGGGCACATCACGCAGTATTTGTGCCCCCAGGTCAGAACTGATCAAGCCGACCAAAGCCAAATCTGTTGTTGGCTTCACCACACCATCTCATTTTGCACACCCTTTCTGATGGCTGCTAAAGCCAATCTGTTGGGGAGTCTCCCATTTTCATCACCATCTCATCTCCTCGAAAGACCAGGTTAAACCAAGACTCCGAGTTGTGACATGGGTGCGACAATTCTCTAGAAGTCGGTACAGAAAGGTTTCCTGTAGAAGTCTTAAAGGTTTCCAGTCTGACCCAGGTCCAAACCTGGTCCTGAAAACCTCCTTGAGTGATCTTGAGTGACAGTTGTTTGTATGACCAACTCCAGTGAACATGAGGTTCAACTGACCTGTCAGGCTTCCATGACATGCGTGGGAGCTTCTGCGACATGTGTTGGGATTTTGCTAGCTTGAACTTTTTGGGATGACCAATGGATGAACTTTCTTCGTTTCTTCGCAGGTCAATGTCCGCCCGGACACCGGCTGCGAGGATGAGGGCGTGCCGAAGCACCCGACGGTGCGTGGGGTATAAACCGAGACGTGGAGCCGCTCCTGCGGCTCCACCGAAGGGTCCGGGGGAACCTCTGAAGCCTCGAAGCCGTGCGAAAAGATGGTCGAGTCGAAAGCAGAAGCTCTTTTCGGGGCACTGGTAGAGGATGCCTCGACTCAAGGCCATTGTGCCAAGTTCGACGTTGGTATATTTGATACATTTGTAAAGGACCTTTTCGACCCGACAGTTGGGGGACCCGACAGTTGGTAGGGGCCGACAGTTGGTAGGGGACCCGACAGTTGGTAGGGGACCCGACAGTTGGTTTCAATCTGTTGCCACAAAGATGCTCCCTTATGCTCTCACGGTTCTCGATTCTGGTGGCTGGACCAACACAAGACCTCAACGCTAGGCTCGCTTGGCTGTGAAGCTCGTGCCGGGCCTCGTGGCTGTGAAGCGAAACAAAATGGGTGACGTTCTTCTCCAAACGATCCGAAACCGGGCGCGATCCAAACAAGACCTGACCAGGTCCGACAACAGGGAGGATTTGAGTTCTTGAAGCAGGGCGGAATGAATCAAATTGAAGACATTTTGGCATGAATCTGGTTACTTTTTAGTCCATCTTCATCCACTATATTGTTCTTAGATGAAGTTTAAGCCAAGCTCTGCCAGACCTCTACCCTCCAAACGAACTTTTGAAACCCATCACACCGGTGTGCACCGCCCCCCACGACCATGTGTACTCCGTGGACTCCTTGTTCCCACCCGAAGGCGGTGGGCATCGGTGGGCAGCAGACCTTACGATTCTTCGCGTCGAAGGCGGAAAGCGCCCGGAAGCAGGCGGGAGACCCCGGTCTCCCGCGGAGCGACTGGTGGGAGGGTGCGGTCCGGTGCGACGGTGTAAGCGTCGACTTCCCGGCCTGTTTGGCTAGGCGTATAGGCGTATTGGTGATGTTTTTCACTTGCTCAGCAAACACTCTGACCAACACTAACACCTCATGTTGATGATCATAAGTGGTATAGAAAACAAGAAAAACACTTGCTCATTGTAGCCCTCTATCAGCGGTTCACATGAGCCTGGCAATCTTGTCTGCAGTGAGATGGGGAATAGAGAGTCTGCAGGGACACTGGTTTGGGGAGCAGCACGGAACTCTGCATCATTGAGTGTGGAGAGTCCCTTGCACGATAGAATATTATATTATACACATATCATAAATTATATGTATCATATATGTATCTGCGTCCCCGTAGGTTAAGATGTTTCTCACTTACTTGTTTTCTGCAGTGTTGGCTTCAGTTTTATGTCCTGTTCGAGTTGCCGCCTTTTCGGTGGCCCGATCTGCGCCTCTTGCCGTACCCTGAGACGGATCAGGGAGCTACTTCAAGGAGGCCTACTACTGAGGTCGCAGGAAGCGGCCGTCGTTCAGGCCCGAGGGGCGGCAGGGGCCCTTGTTGACTTGGCCGAAGAGGCGGCCCCGGTCCTTCAGGCCGAACGAGAGACCTCCGGGGCTCTTGAATCGGTGGTCGAAAAGCCGGCAGTTGGTGAGGCGACAGCGGGAGTAGCAGCAACTCCTGGTTGTGTTGGCGAGGAGGCCAAGGACGCGGTGACCAAGGAGGAGCACGAGGAATCGAAGGAGCCTGTTGCTGAAGTAGAAGTTCAAGACGAAGGAGAAGAAGCAGATAAGGAGGCTGAGGTCAGGGTTGAAGAACCAAAGAAGCCTGCCAAAGAAAAGAAAAGGAAGAAGCGTCAGGAAGGCGGTGAAAAGAAGGAGCGAAAGAGGGAACGAAGGAAGCGCAAGGAGCGCAAGGAGGAGTCCGAAGGACACTATTCCGTCGAGGAGCCCGCGACCCCGATCGAGGAGAAGAGTCCACAGAGGAGCCAACCAGCCCGTCCATCCAGCATCGAGGACGAAGGACTGGACCACCAGGGCCTCAAGCCGGCCCCAAAGCCAGTGGCAAGTCACCCCGCCTTCTCAAGACTCTTGCCACCACCACCGCCTCCTCGGAGGCCCCGATCACCGAGTCACCCTCCACCTGATCGCAAAGGCGGCCGCGGAGGACAAGGAGCCTACTGGCAGGGGAGACCTCGGTCCCGAAGCCCAGCCAAGAGGCCGAGAGGCTCGAAAGGAGCCAAACACCGCCAGAGAGGGATCGATCGTAAAGCAGGTCGATACTACTAGGAGCAATGGCACCCAAAGCCAAGCCAAAAGCAAAAGGCCTTGCCAGGCCAGCAGCCAGCCCTCGTCCACCCAGGAGGGTGGGGGTACTTCGGCATCCCTTGCGTCGACCCGCAGGAGCCCCAGCAGACGTGGCAGCTCCTGGGCATCGGGAGCAATGGTTGAGCGGGGCCGTGGTGCCCTTGATCATGTCCCCGTGGAAGAGTTCGGAAAGGGGATGAGCGTCGTGTTCCCAGAGATCACTTACTTTATGGCCCCGGCCAGCCTGGCAGGAGTGATCAAAGGGGTCACGATAGAAAGCGGCACCGTTCACCTTCTCGTCGAGCCAACAGGGACAACCTCGGAGGCACTTCTTCGCTTCTATTCGGGCAGGCCGGACATTGTTCTTCGTTGTCATCGGTGCACCGAGGAGTGCACTGGGGAAGTCGTGGCGGACGACCTGGTGCACGTGCAGAAGGCCCGCCTCATGAAGGGGCGAAGCGAGGAGGAGCCCTGGGTTCGCAATTTGTTGAAGGCAGATCCCAACGAAGAGGACGAACTTCGAGATCTTCGAGCTCGGGACGCCCTCCGCTTGTCCGCCGACGTAGAGGTGGCCAAAGGGAAGAAGCCGGACGAGCCAGAGAAGGATGCCGGTTCCAAGAAGAAGGACAAGAAAAAGTCCAAGGGCAAGAAAAAGAAAAATAAAAAGGCAAAGAAGAGCAGTTCAGCATCGGCCAAGAGTTCAAAGAAGGCCCGGAAGAGCAAGGCCGAGGTGCAGCAGAAGAAGGAGGTGAGCGTGAGCTCAAGCAGCTCGAGCGTGGGAGACGATGGCAAGAGGCCCCGGTCTGCATCGCAAAAGAGCCTCCTGAGCTTATACCGGGGAACCGGTTTGGATCCACGGGAGCGCGTGAGGAAGAGGGTGGCCCGGCGCGCCAGGAAGCGGGCCAAGCATGCAAAGGCCGATCACAGCTCTTCGTCGAGTCGCTCGGGGTCAGAAGGCGAGACATCGATCGAGGAGGATCCGGAGGATGCGGAGCTCTTCGAGGCGGACAGTCGCTTGAAGAAGTTGTCGGACGCCTTCCCAGGGGCTCTGTGTTGTCAGTCGGTCAAGATGATGAGGCAGAATCTTTTGCAGAGCATTGGAGAGGATGCCCGGCCGGCAGGGGTGCAGCCAGTGTGCCTGAGCTACTACCGACAGCAGCTGCTGAAGCGAGCGATGGGACCCACGCAAAGGGAGCTTGTGACCCTTTCAGCAGCACTCGACTGGCTGCTGAAGGGACATCCGGCTCGAGCAGCCGACTTGATGAGCCAGAGGCTGAAGTCCATAGAGAGCGTCCTCAGCGGCACCCACTGGTCGGTGGCTCAACGCATGGAAATTGCGCCTCAAGAGGGCTTGTTCCTGGCAGCTGCAGGAACTGTCGGCCGCCCAAAAGGATGCCTACAGCGAATCCAAAGTGAGGCATCTGGCAGGATTGCCCGACGGCCGGAAGGGCAAAGGCAAGTCAAAAGAGAAGGAGAGGGAGCACTACGACCATCCCAAGGGGAAAGGAAAGTCGAAGGGCTCGGGCAAAGCAGACAGGACGAAGGCCAAGGAGGACACTACGAAATGAGCTCCTGTTGTTGGGAGCGGGCCCAAAAGCGGGGTCTAAATTTAGACCCCTTGGTTGACAGCTTGGAGGATGGTGGCAAGTCGAATCTTCCTGACTTGACGGCTGGAGGCTTTCCCCTGGGAGATCTGGCTTGGGATCGAGTTTGCACTACGAAGTTGGCCACTCATGTCGAGACGGTCAACGACTCCATGGTGGCGGGGCCGGCCGCTTTGAGGCCGAAAGATCCCGCTGACAGTTCTCCTATGTTGCCGTTCTGAGAAGACCGATGAGGTGCCCACGTCGGGCGCTGCACAGGTGGGTACCTTCCCGCCGAACCCTCCGCGCTTTGAAGTCGTAGAGGATGAACCTTCGCATCAACAACCTTGTCAGGACGTGATGGAAAAAGGAGAAAGCGCTTTAGATTTGGATGGGAGGAGTGTTCAGCAACTTGGGTCGTTTTTACTCCAGCGTTTGATGGAGGTCACATCACTTCGCAGCCAGCTCACAGGTTGTGGGGACACCGCCTTGTTCCCACTCCCCACCTCCATCAACCTCTTGCAAACGTTGTGGGCGACCATTGACTCCGAGGTGTTGAACTGGGTTGTTTGTGTTTGCCTAGGACTCAACTCCCTTTGGGGCGGAGACAACCTGGGTGAGAAACTTTTGGGGAGCAAACAAAGAGTGTGCCTTGACATGATTCGAAATGAGGTTGAACGTTTCTGTAACCTGGGACTGAAGGCCTCGGGTGTCGATTGGCAGGAATTCTTCACCGTGCGTGGCATTGACTATAAGGGAGACGAGGTCAAGGTGGCTCGGTGGATCAAATGGGAGAATGTGTGTCCTGCGCTTCCTAGGGAGATTGGTCTGGTTCCCTTGGAGGAGGTTTGCACCCTTGGTTGTAGGAACTACGTCCTCTCCCTGGATTCATACTTGAAGCCACGTGACAGTTGGGGGGTTATCAAAAGGTCCAGGGTGATGGTTGAGGACGGTGCATGGGGAGAACTTTGCACTGGTTTGTTGTCTCCTGGAAGAGGATCAGGTTTTTGACACCGGGAGTGGCCCACTCCTGAATGGGCTCTTCGGAGTCTCCAAGGAAGAGTCCACAGCTGAAGGAGTGGAAATTTGCAGACTAATCATGAACCTTATACCTTTCAACTCCATATGTCAACCCCTGGGTGGAGACATCGATGCGCTCCCCTCTTGGAGCATGATGAGCCCGTTTTTCTTGCAGCCTGGCGAGAACCTCTTGGTATCATCTGAAGATGTGAAGTGTTTCTTTTATACCATGCGGGTTCCTGAATGCTGGAGCAAGTTCTTGGCGTTTAACAAGGTTGTCCCTGATCATGTCCTACCACCCCACTTGGAGGGCAAAACGGTCTACCTTGCTTCAAGGGTCTTACCTATGGGTTTTTTGAACTTGGTGAGCCTTGCGCAAAACGTGCACCGGAACCTTGTGAAGTGGTCGTATGGCTTGGAAGAACGATCAGCTCTTGAAAACACGGAGCTTAGAAAGGACGGCCCATTCTCCGCGGCGAACTCTACTTGGAGGGTGTACTTGGACAACTATGACTTGCTCGAGAAGGTCACGGCCACAGGCATGATAGATTGTGAAGGGACGGTGGCCGATCAGATTAAGGCGTTGCGACAGGAGTACTGCGTGTGGTCGGTGCCAAGAAATGAGAAAAAGGCCGTTGAGAGGTCGGGCAAGTGTGAGCTGCAAGGTGCGACTGTCGATGGCAAGATCGGTCTGGCCTACCCCAAGGAGTCCAAGCTCGAGAAGTACTTCAGCATGACGTTGAAGCTCTTGGGGCAAAAGTACGTGAGCCAGCGGCAAGTTCAGGTCGTGTGTGGGGGTCTAGTGTACTTCAGCATGTTCAGGCGGCCAGTCCTTGGAGCGTTGAACTCGGTGTGGACCTTCGTGGAGTCGTTCAATGATTCGGGAGCACTGTACAAGCCTCTGACGGCGGAGTGCAGAGCAGAGCTCCTGAGGTTCCTTGCCCTTCTACCGCTCGCGCGCATGAACTTCAGGTTGGACATGCACCCCATGGTAACTTGCAGTGACGCGTCGACATCTGGAGGTGGTGTCTGTCGATCATCAGGTCTGACCCTAACAGGGACTATGGTAGCGCAAGGGGGGCTTCGAGGTCAGGTTTGTCAGCCGCTTCCTGAGCACCAGGTGCTGGTGGTGAGTCTGTTCGATGGCATAGGTGCCCTCCGTGTGGCCATGGACTTGCAAAACGTCTCGGTTTGTGGCTATATCTCTGTGGAGCGCAACGCGTCGGCCAGGAGGGTGGTTGAGAGCAACTATCCTGGAGTGGTGCACTACGATGATGTGGAAGGTGTTGGTTGAATGGAGCCTACGTTTTTCACAGTGTAGCCTGGTGATTGTAGGAGCTGGACCACCCTGTCAGGGGGTCTCCGGGCTGAACTCCGATCGCCGTGGCGCCTTGAAGGATGCCAGATCGTCGCTGTTTGTCCACGTGTCGCGTGTCCGCCGATTAGTCCAGAGCCAGTTTCCGTGGGCGGCAGTCCATGTTCTGATGGAATCGGTGAGTTCCATGGATGAGGAGGATCGCAAGGTCATGTCGGAGGACTTTGGGGAGCTCCCCGTCCACATCGACGCGGGTTCACTGACGTGGTGCAACAGGCCGAGGCTATATTGGACGACGTGGGAGCTTCGGGAGGGCCCTGGAGCCTCCTGTGACGCGGGAGTTGATCCGAACTTGTGGACATGGGTGGGACTAGCCAGTTGACTGCTACCTAGAACCAGGATGGACCAAAGTCTCACCCGAGCAGTCGTTCCCAACGTTCACCACCTCAAGGCCATCAGACAAACCGGGTCGCAAGCCCGCCGGCATTGTGCAGTGTCAGGATCATGAGCTACAGCGGTGGCACAATGACCGCCATCGTTTCCCACCATACCAATACCTGGACAGGCATGGAGTCACAGACAAGCATGGTAACATCCGAGTCCCATCGGTGGCAGAGCGTGAGGTGCTTCTTGGTTTCCCTCTCCATTACACTGCTAATTGCGTCACCAAAGGTGAGAAGAAGAAGAAGACTGAGTACCTGGACGTGCGGTTGACCCTGCTTGGTAACTCTTGGAGTGTGCCAGTAGTTGGATGGTTGCTCAACCAGCTCCTGTCAGGCCTCGGGATCGCTCTCCCTCTGACGCCGCAAGCAGTGGTGAATCGGTGTGCTCCTGGGTCCTCGGAATCGGTTCAAGGTCGATTGGTGCGGTTGCCTCTGCGAAAGGTTGATGCGGGAGCAGGGAGCGAGTACGATCTAGCCAGCGTTCAAGTTGGGAAACCTCATCAGCCTCAAGGGTGAGGACATTTTGCTGTCGACACCTACGACCCAGATGGTAAAGTTCCACCGACTACGTGCGTCAGTTCCTGCCAAGCTTTGGAAGTGGAAAATCGTTTCAGGATGGCGGTGGACACGGGGGCATGAGCATATCAACTCTTTAGAGCTTCGAGCCATCCTCAATGCGTTGCGGTGGCGCCTTGAGCACCAGGGACATCACGGGTGCAGGATGCTGCACCTGACTGATTCATTGGTCTGTTTGCATGCATTGACACGCGGCCGAACGAGTTCACGAAAGTTGCGACGGAGTATGGCAAAGGTTAGCGCGCTTCTCCTATGTACCGGCTCCCAGATGTTGTGGGGGTATGTGAGCACGGACACCAACCCCGCTGACAAGCCAAGTCGGTGGGGGACCAGGGTACGAACTCGCTTCAGGAATGCCTAAGCGGGTTCTGGAGGGAGCTATACAGGGAGAGCGTGCAAAACTACGTCGTCGTTTGGGAACTCTTCGCCAGTTGACAGTGCAACCCACCACTCGCAAAAGGTATGATAAGGCTGTGGACCAGTTCCTTTCCTTCCTCCATCCCAAGGAATGACCCTACCTACAAATAAAAGCAAGCTTGATCCATTAGTCTGTGATTACCTGGAGCGTCTTTGGTGCCAAGGGTTCGGCAGGGGCTTGGCCTGCGATACCCTGGCAGGGCTGCAGGACCTGCAGCCGGGGCTGCGGACTCACATGCCGGCAGCCTGGAGGCTCCTGAAGACATGGCAAACCAATGAGATACCGTCAAGAGCTCCACCCATCCCAGAACACATCGTTCATGCCATGTGTGGCTGGGCAATTTTTAAGGGCTGGGGTTCTTTTGCCGTGTCGCTCCTTGTCGGGTTTTACAGTATGTTGAGGACTGGAGAGATCCTCGGGATCTTGTCTTCTCACATTGAGTGTGCACCCGGAGCCATGCAAGCTCTGATTAACTTGGGCATGACCAAGGGTGGAAAGCGGCATGGTGCCGCTGAGAGTGTGGTCCTTGGTTTCGACGGACTTGGAAACAGGCTTGTTCTCCTTCCACGCACCTCACACAGTCCCCCGCGAAGTGGAGGGCACTTTTTAACAAGTGCTTAGAGGACCTGAAGATCCTTTACTTTGGGTTCCGCCCGTACTCCCTCCGAAGGGGGGGGGCCACATTTTGGTTCCAGAAACACCAAAACCTCGATCGAATCCTCATTCAAGGACGTTGGCGCACACAAAAAAGCGCAAGAATTTACTTGAACGAAGGTTTGGCGGTGCTCAGCCAGATGAAACTTCCGGCTACGGATGCACGTTTAAAGCCATTCCTCACGGTTTTTCGTAATTTCTTACTCCAGCCTTCCTTTTCCACACTTGAGCCTCCACCTAAAGGCGGAAGAGGTGGGGGCCGTGGAAAGAACAGACGTTCTGGCAAGGGAAAAGAGTCCTCTTTTTAAATTTTTTCTGACAGCTACGGTCTGTGTCCAATCCTACTAAGGTCTATGAGGCGTGGCTTGACGTTTAGTAGGATGGACTGAGTAACGTCTTTCTACCCCGGGTGTGGCCGGGTAGATAAGAGTTTACTTCCTGTTGGACTGGGAGTCCATAGTCAGACCGTTTAGTCTGTCTAACCTCTTCTTTTTCATTATTTTTTGACCAACATGCTGCGAAGTGAAAACAAGGGTGTGAGTCAAACATCTTTATATATATATATATGATATTGTATATATATATATATGTATTATATTGTATGTATCATATATAATATTATATATGGTGTATTATATATTATATATATACACGCACCACCTATTGTAGATCCTATAGGTCACGAACGCCGGATGTCATGGCCCATGCCATCTTGAGATACTTATCGCCTTACTCCCCCGACCCCGCAGGCCCCCACCGCATGCCGCATGAGGCCTACGACCTCCACGTGCAACGGCTTCTGGGCTCGGAGACCACGCTGCAGTCGTTGGCCGTGGAGCACGGCCGCCTGACGCCGGCCTTCGCCCCGGAGGCGAGAAGCGGCGATCCGGGCGAACCTGGCGAAGCGGCGACCCGCGCGACGCGGCGGCGGTGCCGGAATCCTTGCGCAGGTGCGTGGGGTATATTTTTTTGGGGAAAAATTCCGGCTCAAAATGTCTCGATCAGAGTCTGTTTCCGACGATTTCTTCCATCTCCAAGTCCTGGGCCAGGTGCGGAGCTATAAAGTCTCCTTGGACTTGGAGTCGGACATGCTGAAAGTCTGGTGCGCCACAAGCTTCCGAGCTGTACAGATCGGCGCAAGATCTGACAGAAATCGGCAGCAGTCCTTTCGGTTGGACCGGCTTGGAGGCTTCGTCATGTTTCTCTCCACCCTCCGCAGCATGCCGGTTTTCTGGGTCTGCCGTCATGTCATGCCAGGTGTTCAGGGAGAGGAGGACACATCACATAAATGGCTGTTCCTGGTGCACGGTGTTGAACTCCACACAGTGTTAGCACTATAGGTATCTGTTAATTTCTATATGTCTATCATGATGTCTATTCATTCTCTGCAACTAGCTCTGCGACTGATTGAACCTACAAGAAAGGGTTCCTCTTCGTGAGTTGTGGGCATGAGCAGGGAAGGCTTCTGATGGTTTCTGTACATAGTCGAACACGGTGATAGTCTCAGACAACCTTCACTTTGAAAAAGACCCATCAATGCATCAAACTCAGAACAGCCCGACTCCACAATTCCACTGATTAGAAGAGATGCTGAGAAGACATGAGAAGACTCAACTACGGGATAGTACCAAAAGTTGTTCACCTTCATGAAGGGCTTGTACCTTTGCATCATCCCAACGGTGTTTTTCCGACTTGACACCAGGTACCGCCTGCGGGATAATGAGCAACGCTTGCGCGTGGCCGCCCAGAAGGAGGACGGAGCTGATGCTTCTTTTGGGACCCGGATGGGTGTGTATTCCAACCTTTTGAGAGGTGCTTGGGAGAGGCGCTCCCTGAAAAAGATCACGGTGTCGTCAACCACTTCACAGGTGAAACGACCTGAATCCACAGCCTAGGATCAACTTCTTGAAGACAGGCGACCCTGTCCAGTGGTGGAACTGCCCCCTTCAGGAAGATGATAAAAGATGTGCAGTGAGATCAACTCTCCTTAGCTCATGGTCGTGATTTAGAAAGGCATTCCTACAGATAAAACATGATAAACCGATTCCAATTCAATATGTAATTCGAGCAGTTTTCATCCTAGTTGGTGCTTCTCCTGCCCAGGATGCCGTTCCTTTCTTCCCACCTGGACACCCCAAGTCACTGTGTATGGACACCGCCGAGTCACCGCTATGAGAGCGCCGAGTCTCCGAGTCTCCGAGACAGGCGTGGGTCGAAACCGCTCGTTTGCAGGAGATGGCGCGTCGCTTGGAGTGGGGAACGCCCAGCTGCGGATCGGAGCGCGGGTCGCCGGGTCGCGGGCTCGGGAGCGCTGAAGCGAAGGGCGTGAGCGAAGCCTGGGAACACCAAGGTGCTGAAGCCTGGAACGGTATAGAAGTCCAGTGAGTTCGACGATCTGGAAGGAGACTGAAGGAAAGGAAGTACCCTAGGATTTGAGCAACCTATTGCTTTAAAGATTGCTTTAATGGTCTGAATCCCAAAGAGCCATTGTTTTGACTCTACACCACCAGGTCAACCATTCTTTTAATGGTAGTATTTTCCTCACTTCGGGCCACCCATTCTCGGTTTTCGTCCGATCGTCTTGGACTCCTGCCTTCTGGGGGCGGCTCCACTGCGCTCTCAAATGCTCCGTGAAAACTACCCGACCGAGTTGTCGTTCTTTTGAAGGGGCCGGACATTATATGTGGGTTACGGGTTGAAAGTTGAAAGTAGATGGCACAACCAACCCCATCTAAAAGACATCTTGGGGTGGCAGTGCTATCTACTCTGAAACCAATGCAACAACTATTCGGCCTTAATGAAGCAGGGTCCTGGTATGGCCAAGTGGGGAGTACCTTTTAAAGGGCTTTTAAAGGCTGCTTTGGCTTACCAAAAGGTGTCCCCTTGATTTGAATCCTTCGCCCAACACGCCGTGAACGGCGTGTTGACAGGAGTCAGGTGACGCCTTGCATCGTTATTTTTCCACAAGGTGACCGTCTTTTCTCGGAGCAGATATGATTTGAATGTGCTTGCCAGCCTCCCAAGACTTCTCATTTCGTGGTCCGTTTGCATGTAGCAAAGCTCAAGCACTCAAACTCCTGGCTTTTCTGCCCTGTTGCAGCTCAAACGGCACACTCTGCCAAGGGGCTTGGAACGACAAGAAGCGCTTCATGTCGTGTCAGGGGAGGCCAGCGGCGGAACTGGGGAACCTGTGACGAAGAATAACTTCACCCAGACCCATCCAAGGAGTTGTCGCAATCACAGAATCAGGCGAGAATTGAAGGTGTAGAGCACTTGCCCAGTCTCAACAGGTCTCAATCTGGGTGGATGGCCCCTGGGAAGTCAGGGAGAAGGCACCAAATAGCTGAGACCACCGCGAGGCTTTGCATGGACACGTCGAATCATTTCATTGACCCGGACCCCCCGCGAAAAAGGCACCTGTTTGCGGGTCAGCAGCAGTGACGGGGTTTTCATGGGTTTTCCAGCAGCCGCCGGTGACGGAGCCGCGGATGAGAGGTACGGTTCGCAAAAGACCGCTGGTGAAATGAGCCAATAAGCCGTATACGAACGACGTTGGAGACCACTCGTGGGTCGATTACGAGGTGAATAGGAGAGCAGCACTCTGGAGATCTCTGCTTGAACTGTTTGGAGCACTGGATTCAGCTTGGCCATATGGCATCCAACCAGCCTTGATTTAAGGGTGTTTACCGGAAGAACATAAGGACTTCACACAACAAAACCAGCTCAACCATTTTTAAATGGTCGTGGAAGGCTAGGGCCCCTCATACAACGATCAACGGTACCGGTGGCAAAGAGGACGCAGTTTTCCCACCCGAAGGGGCCAGCGTTCCGCACCAACTGGGTGCCAGGTGCAGTACCAGGATGCCTACAGCAGCTTTATGTACGGAGACCCAACAATGGGTGAAAGATGAAGGGGAGTTGCAAGAGGAAAGTTCCAAAAGCACGCCAATGGCCTTTAGGTCTTCATGGAGATGTTTGCCCTCTTGATTTTTTGTTTGACACTCACCAGTTTGGGGATTGGTTTCAGTAAAAAAGCGAAGGCAGGCGACCGTTTTTGCCGAGCAACATGGAAGGAGTCAGGTTCTGGTTTCCCCAAGACTAGGAGCCAGATCCAACTTGAGTATACAGTGACAGCCAAGGATGGCTTCGAGGGAAGGAGCCACATCCTGCATCCACCCCAGGAATCTTGGTGGCGAAGAGACCCTCTACAGCTTGATTTGGCTTTCCATCTGTGATACAGCGCAGCTTGATCGATCGGTCCAAAGGCGAGGCGAAAAGGATTGTTTGAAGAAACATCCAGGGCCTCGACGCCATGAACACCAGGAATTCTCAGTGGATGTTCAGCCAACTCCATGGAACTGCTGGCCAAGTTCGTTTCATCCTTGTTTCACCATCAATGTCTATTCTGCTTTTGCTAGATGAGCAAGCCTCCCTACTGTTTCATGGTAAGAATACATATGTTTTTGCAACCTTGAGCCTCCAAATGATCCTCCTTCAAGAAGAGCGTTTTGGAAGGCACGTGGCTGCCTGACATAGTTTCAGCTGGGAAGAAGACAGTGACATGATCTCACATGCAAGGGCCAAATCTCCCAGCCATGAAATCCACGTGATCTGAAACTTCGCACTGTTGTAAACCATGCGTTTCACATCTCACAAACATCTCGTGAGCCCTCGAGCTCTTCGAGCTTGAAACGGTCCGAACCTGAGGCTCGATGTGGGCCACAAGCGTTCGGTGACGATGACCATCCAATGTGCAGATCCCACGCAGGTGCGCATGCGCAATACGCGAACAAGGGCTCTTTTGGGCTCGAGCTGAACAATTTTGCAGCGGGACTTAAAGACACGTGAGAATTCCAAATTCAAAGACATGTTCAACATATTAAATGAGCCGTTCACTTCGGTGGTGGAGTCGAACTGGGCTTCTAGGGGAGAAGCGGTCACCAAGGTGTGCTGGCACTAGAGCCCATGTCTCCTGAGGATCCTCACTCACCCTGCGAGGTATTCAAGAAACACACCGCCGCCTGCATTCTGAGTTTAGACCTCTTTACCATCTTCCACTGGCTTTTGGTTCGCGTCCATGCCAATTTCCGATCTTTGCATGCTCCTGGCACCTCTGTCACTTCAGACAATTTGGAACAAACAGCCACCATCTTCCAGAAGCCTTTCCAACATGGTCAAGGGTGTGGCTCCCTCGATCAAGTCCTGGTCGACCTGGTGCGTCCGAACCACAAATGGGCGGGCTTCAACAACGGACTTCCGGTGGAGGTGGGTGGGTCCACTTGCATGCAGAGAGAATGGATCGCAAGGGGACAATGTCATTTGGCCAGATTACTAGGGGCAAGAAGCTACTAGGAGCTCCTGGCATCGCTATGAACGGAGCAAGGACGCTACGAACGGGGCTCCTGGCCTTGCTACTAGGAACAAGAAGCTACACTCAACTTGCTCCTGGAATCTCGTGGACCCGAATCGCTGGCGTCTGGGTGGTGACAGAAGTGGGAGAAGCCGGACCGGTTACGGTCTCGAGTCGCAAGGGTTCGATTCGGCAAATCTTGACCTGGGTCATCATCTCCTGCTGGTTTGACTTAAAGGTTCGACAATTGGGAACAGTGAGGCTCTGACACTTGAAGCATCAGAAATTAAGGCAGGTTTGTTTAACATGTCTATAACGTATTTCATGCGTTGAATATGGGCAAACCCGCGCCAAGTGCAAGCCTGCGGCGGTTCCTGCACAAACTGTGCCAACCCGTGCAAACCAGCGCAAACACATTCAGACACATTCCCGTTGTAATGGGAGATTCCGTGAGAACCGGTTCGTCGGAAGCGGAGCGAAACGGGGACACCCTCGGCAGGGACAGTATCATATTGGACGTGGAAGAACCTTGGGCTGTGGAGAGTGTAGGACTTGCTGCATTTTTTGGTACGTGTGGGCACAACTGGAACATGGGATATCAGAGTTCAACAAATCCTGGGTGGTGGTTTCAATCGTATGTTTACAATTTTCAACCACCTTTAAATTGAGCTTATTGATCTCACTGATGAATTCTTTTCAGTTGAAGCCCCCAGACTCTGGCATGCCCTCCATGCCTTGACACTCTTCCCTCTCTTGCGCCTCGGGCACTTGCTCGCAGGCGAGCATTGGGACCTACACCTTGGAGCTTCAGCGCGGCAGCTGCCCACCGCAGCGGCCCTACTTCGAACCGGACAAGAGGACCCCGGCGGACCCGCCCTCCGAAGCGTCCAAACGCCCCGTCGAGACGACCCAAGAGGACCCTGGGGGAGACCGCTGAAAAGGATTGGGGGGGAGGTGTCTGTTTATTGGAAACGACCGCGCTTTTTGAAGGGACGTCACCCTTCCAAGAAAGTATCTCCTTTTTTGTGTCAATATGTTTTTTTTTAATGCATATAAACTGTAATATATGTTCTTTCAAGCGCCCTCCCAGACCATGAGACTCTCCCGTCCTTTCCCTTCAACGTCCTTTGGAGTCCGAGAAAAATCCGTCGAGTCCGCATACATCGCGGTGCCTTGCGCGGCAGGAAGTGCGTGAACTTTTGCCCCGAAGGCTTGGTCCGAAGCTGCGGACGGGGCTGGAGAGGACGGGGCTGCAGCTTGTTTCTGCTGGTCGTACCAGGTCGAGTGCATTTAAAGAAACAGGTGATGATCTAGAGATGTGTTGCGCACAGCGGATTCCATGTCGGAATGGTTTTAAAGTGCGTATCAGTGGATGTGCTGGGCAGCCGCACCCCGACATGGAACTGTGCGTATTCAAAGGGCCCCCGATTGAGGTCACTTGAGCCTCTGAAAGGTCACGTAGAGATACGTAGAGACACTAAAAGTCACTTTGAAGGTCCTTTTTCCTGTGGTTTTTCATGATTTATCCTAGAGACTTAGAGAGTTTGAACAACCCTGCAACCGAAAAAGAGCGGAGGGTCCCAGTTCAGGTCTCTCGAGCTTAATCTGTTGGATGTTGGGTTTCTTGTGGCCGCGTCGATTGGTGTCCTTCGTGGTTCGTGCATTTGGAACGTTGGACAGAGGGGGTTGCGTCGGCTACAGCAGCAGGTTTAGATGAGTTGACCTGTGAACCAAAATAACACGATTGGAGTGTGTTGACCAGACATTCTTGCTCAATATTAGCATCAAGAATCAAGATATATTAATTTACGAACTGAACCAGCTAGAGGTTCCCTGTTCAAACAGATCATGAACGAACACCTCGCAAGCCTGCATCAAGAGGTGCTTGCAGGGTATTTTTAAACATAATGTTTCAAGGGTTTTCAAGGATTCGAGTAAAAATCTAGAATCTAGTATCAAAGAGAGACTCTTATGACATCACATCTTGCGATACTAGTAGCAACATCATGTTCTTGTGCTATGTGCAGTCTTTTTCGCCCCCAAACACCACCAGGCTTCTACCGGAACGACTTGGACGAACGCTGTTCACGGTGCAACGACAACTGCAAGGCGCGGCACGCAGCGGTGCAATCGGCATCAACCCCTGAAACCACCCCAATGTATGTAAATATGCCATAGGTGGAGTGTCGGGGTTTGGTGGATTCTCTGGAAATGGAGGGGACCTCCAGGAGGGAAGCATATTTCTTTTCCATGGCACGCAGTGAATGAAAGGAAGCTTGGCAGAGAACCCCAGGATCTCTTTCGAGTCCAATCTCCGTGAGGGGGGGGGGCGTTCATCCTTGGAGATGCTTCCCCTCTGACCGGTCAGAATTCTTGCAGCAAGGCGGCGACTTGAAGACTCTTGAAGACTCAGAGGAGCTGACTTCAGTAAGCAAGCTTCGCTTCTCCAAACCAATCGACGAAACCTCTCGGTCCTCGATGCAGCGGCGCGTCTCTGCTCATCCTCTGCGTGCCGAGGTGTGCACGGGCTTGTTGACCTGCAAGATGTGCGTGCCGGATGACGTGCAGTATACCTACGTGAGGGGCGCTCGTCACAGCGACAGGGACGGTGGGGAGGACGGTGGGGAGAGGTGGGACGGAGGTGCCAACAAGGCCTCCGGGAAGTACACCATATGGTGGTTGCTTTTGTGGATGATGCTTTTTTCTTAGGCATTCGAAGACCAAGTTTCACCCCATAATTATGGTCATAATATAGTGATGGTCTTTCCTTTTTGCCGAACGAACTTGGGCCTGCTTGTAGGGAGTTCAATACAGATTCTAACAAGCGCAAATCATGTCTTTAAAATTCAAATGTGGAGCCCCCTCAGCCAAACCCTGGTGACAAGAAGGTCAACGTTATCCTTTACTTTCGCAGTATCTTGACTCTGAGACTATCCGAATGGATAGACAGTTTTTTCAGGCAGCGACCCTTTCTTGACCCTTTCTGGACCCTCATGACCCTCAACTTGGTTTCTCGTTCGAGACCGACGCTGGAAACGCTTTGGATCTGCCTGGAGCCCGACTAGTCCACCGTGTAGCGGCGTAGCCTTCGCACTAGGTAGGTCAACCATCAGTCCCCTGGTGCCATATACCCACAGCCAGCTAAAGGGTTCACTGGTCTGGGGGGCACCCCGTGTGCCCCTTAAAGGAGGGTTGAACCCCAAATGGTTTAGAACCGTTCAGGAGTTTTCTTTCCAGTCACTGGTTGACCCAGAGAGTTGTCAGACGCCCTTTCGAACGAACGCATGTTCGAAATTCAAGGGCCAACCACGTTGTTGAATACATTGCATTTAAAAATAAAGGATGTTCCAGGACCTTCCCAGTGACCCTGTCTGTAGATCTCAGTGGTGGGTCGGTCACTTAAGTCTGAAAAAAATTACTTGCCAAGCCGGAAAAGGTCACTGGGATGGTGCTCCTGGTTTAAGGTGTTCTTTTTTGCTCCCACAAAAGAAGGTAACGAAGAGGTTGAGATGTTGCTTTGCTGAAAACACTCGCTATGTTTTTAGCATCGCATCGCATGAAAAACGGACATCAATCCTATGCTCTCCCCGTCGATGTTGGCATCGCCTTCTCTCGATCAGGTCATCCAACCGGACGGCAAATGCCACTTGGCCATCGGTGCGCCAGCGCATGGCAACCACGGGGAACGTGTGGCCACAGGTGCAAGCGCAGAAAGACCGAAGAATACCAGGCCTGAACTTCTGAAAGGGTCTATATACTCCCAGTGAACCCCAAGTACATTTCCTGAACACGTAGGGTTCTGGAAGACAGGTTCCTCTACAAACGGTTTTCCACTTCCATGATCAATCAGCTGTATGTTATTTTTTGAGGTCCCACAGAAGAATCCAAGGTACTTCAAGTTACTGTCCTTGCAACACCTTTCAACTCAGCGTGAAATTCTTACGGAAACAAAAGACACAGTACAATGTAGTACACTTTGTTTTGATGAACATGCAATCCGCCTGCGAGCACGTGTCGTGTTGCCAATCCGCTAGCACGATCATGAATAGGAACGCCCTATCTCTGTGAAGCACGACGCAGGATGCAAAGCTACTAGTAGCTCCTGGCACTAACAAGAAACTACTAGTAGCAAGGGCATCGCTACTAGCAACTAGCTATAAGAAAACCGCCTGTGCCGATGCGTGGTCCACGATGAGTGGTCCACGAGCCAGTTCGACCAAGCATCTCGATGTTCTCCCACGCTGGACTATGAACCCACACTAGCCCTTTGGCCACTCAGGATACTTCAGGTTTTGTAGTCCTGAGGGAATGCCTGTTCAGATCTGTTCAGTAGTTGCCGGACCCAAATCCTTGGGTCTGGCCTTGGTTTTGAGAGGTTTCGAGGGACGGGGAGGTCGGCCCAAAGTCACGGAGCGTGGTCCTGTGACTACGATCTTCGGTTCGTGACCTCTGTGGTGTCTCTGCTGACATTTGTTGGACCATTACAGGCCTGTTGAGCGAGCGAAATCGGATCTCAAGGACGGTCAAGAACGGCTCAGGTCCTGGTGTTTTCTGTTTCATTGAAACCATCGAGCCAGTCGGGAGCGACGACCACAGTGCAGCGACCCTTCCATGGTGGTTCCGCCCGGGCTCGCCCATGCGAGGCCTGTGTCACTCTACCCCTGAAGGGTGGGATTTTCTATCCGCTTCAGGCAGGCGCCAGAAATCCGCTTCAGGCACTCGAAATGATCCTTTCAGAAACCGGACGCGGAAAGCCGGACGCGGAAACCAGACGCGTTCACCAGCAGTTGAGCGTACTCTATGTGACTGGAATCCACGACATACCCGGTGACACCCCTGGTGCCCAAGATCGCAGTCCCCTGAGTCGCGGTCGGGGACCGATCGGACGGACGGATGTGACGTCGTGATGTCCTGAGGCGAAGCCCAGGCGAATCATATCTATGCCAGGCGCCCCGCCCACGGTGCTACCCCCGTTGGTCCCCCTCGCCGCGGGTCCGTGGGTGTTTAATTGGGGGGGCGGTTGGCGTGGATCAGCTGCAAGCTAAGCTGTTTGGGGGATTTGGGGGGCACCCCACGCAACAAGAATTGGACTGGCGGGTGGCGTTGCCGAATTCATTTGCATGCCTTTGGGAATTTCTCTTTCATGCGATTCTACGACCGTCGTGTGTGTCTGCGGCGTGGCAAGCTCAATTCTTGCTTGGGTTGAACAGGTGGAAGGTCCAGTTCGATCTAGATGCTCCGCAGTGCAGGAGCCAGTTTTTTTTGGCCTCTTACTCTGGAATAGCACTTGGGTCCAGCCACGACACCAACACCGCGCTGGCGCCGCTGGGAGAAACCCGGCTCCAAAAGAGCGAACCATCGCGGTGTCCCACAGGTTTGGATCTCTCCGACCAGGTGACAGGTGCTACTGGTAGGACCTAAGAAGGAGTGGTTTTAACGATCAGTGGACTGACCTGTCCATTCCGCTGGGAACTGGTTGGCATGTTGCGAGACACGTTCCAAGAGACAAGCTGATCCGCTCAAATGAACATGTAAAATTAGAAGCAGAAATGCAGTAGCAGGAAGTCAGGGTTCGCACTTCTGATGCATGACCCCGAAACAAGTGCTATACTGTAATTGCATTCATATTCCTGCTTCTGGGGCGCAGAAAAAGACGGATCAGATTGCAGGAGGACATGGCACTTACATGGATTTCCTATGGAGTCGGTCACGGGGTCACGGGTGGACCTGCGACGGGTGGACCTGCCGGGTGGTCGACAACACCGGTCACTGGAACCCCAGTCTGCCAGGTTAGAAGGGAGGGAGCCATGAATCCCGCCATGCCAGGTACAAATGGTGGTGTGCTGGCTTTGCCCTGCTCTTGCTCTTCCTAGCTCCCTTGGCCTGATCGGAGAGGGACCTGATCGGAGAGGGACAAGCGCTCAGCCGAGCGGAAGACTTCGAAAGGGATCCAACTTCGAAGGTGAAGTGGAAGTGCTTCCGAAGTCTTCCGAAGAAATGACAAACCACCCAAGTATCCTCAGAATCAGTAGCTAGTATAGGTCCGAACAACAGAACACTATATAAATTACACATGGATTGATGTCAGAACTGTCACTTGAAGTCTGAAGGGAAGAAACCACACCAGCGGAAGAAACCATGCGCTCCATGGTCCGGCTCGGCCAGGTTTGCTTCGGCTGCGCTGGGATCTGCACTCTCTGCCATGCGCCGCGCAAAGGCGGGACGTCGCGGTGGGGACGTCAGGAACAAACGTCGAAGAATCAAAGATTGAACGATCCGTTTGACCCTTAAGTATCTGAATAAACGTGCTGACAAATAGGATCAGCAACTTTTCCAGTTTGATGGATTGGGCACCAACATGGGAGTTTCTCATCGAATCTTTTTAGCCCCAAAGCAAAGAGATCACCCTCGCAGTTCATACAAGACTGTATATGCACACTATATCACACTATTATCATAATTTAGTATAAATTTTAAGCTGTGGTAGATGGTTCCAAGATAGAACATCAGGGGTGAAGCCCTATAAATAAGGGAGGGCTATTGCTATCTGCTATTTTGTTTGACTTTTTGTTGAGTTGTTTTGGGATGCTTTTTTGGATTTGCTTCTTACCGTTTTTCTTACTCTTCCTTGCGTCTCTATGACCTCTCCTGCTCTTCCTTGTTTCTCAATGCTTTTCTGTGGTTTCTTCCGCTTTTCTAGCTTTTTTTCCTGCTTTTCTCTGCTTGTTTTGCTGTTCATTGCTATAAGTGTTGCTTTATGCATGCTTTTCTGGCTTTGTATGCTTTTCCCACTAAGTAACTGTGGGCATGGAAAATGGCCTGGACTCCTGGACAGTTATTTCTTCTATGAACAGCTATATAGCTTTTTCAGTTCTACTGAAGCAACTATAGAGAAACCACGACTGCACAACAAATTCACCAATCGCAACCCTCCTTGGGGGATTTCTCCGTCACACAGCAAAGTGACTCACATGGAAGTGGGCAAGGCCACCGTCTCGGCTGTTGGAGTCTTTGTTGGAACCAAAATCAGCTGGGGTTCTCGACTTCCATAGTGAGCTGGAGCATCCTCCACATGATGGTCCTAGAGGTCCCTACCGCTTTTGCTGTCATTTTCTTCACCAGCTTCACCCTTTTCTGAGTGACCCCCAAACCCATCGTTCGAACATGAATGATCAAGACTGATGGTGCACTACCCAAAAGCTACGTTGATACAACGATGGTATCTATACAACAAATAAACTTGCAACCTTAGTACAGCCTGCAAGCATCTGCAAGCTACTTCTGTTGAAGTCAATTCTGTTCGGAGAATCTATGGATGCGGAAACTGGTGAAGAAAAACCACATCCCAGCACCCAAAAATGACTCCCATCAGTGCGGCAGCCAAGGTTTGCCCTGATGAAAAGCTGATGGAAAGTACTGGGGAGGATGTGAACAACTCATCTCTAAACAGAAATCTCAAAAACAGAAGAAGTGATGGCCCCTTGGAAGACCATTTTCTTCTGCAAACCGGAGGGAGGGAATTCATCCATTGTGCTCAGGTGTTACAAACAGCTCTTGGTCCCTCAAAACAGGAATTGGTTCGACCCCAGACCCCCTCCAAAGGATTCGGGTTTGATCCCTCTATGAGATATGAGGGTCCAGGAGCGTTTGGGTGAAACACGTCCGCGATGTTCTTCGGATTTGGAGCACTTCCATGAAGATTCCTCCCAGAAGTCACACCCAGCAGCCACCAAGCCACCCAGAGAAAACAGCTGCGCATCTCGACCACGCCCACCCCACTGTGCCAAACCCCCGCCCCAAACCCCGATGTCAGGAGCGGCCTCCAAGCCAGAGAGGCCCAAATGGCGATGGCTGGGGTCTCCCGTTGGACCGGATGTGGGGTCCAGCATCGCCCGACCGACCCAAAGGTCCAGATCGTCCTTTCCTGGAGCTTCTGAAGCTAATGGGGAGAAGCATCAGATTCTTGTTCCAGCAACAGAAGCACGTGTCAGTTTTGATGGAGTTCTGCATCTTCAAGGGGTTCCACAATGTAGTTGTGGAATGACTTTACGTCTGAAGGGTAAGTATATTTGTTGGGTTGGCCCTTTTTGAAGACATAAAGGATGAACACGTATCAAACTCGTCCTGATGTCAAACGGATCCCTTAGTGCGTTTGTTTCTTGGTGCCGAGTCTGACAGATTGATAGAGGCGATACTCCGAAGTGAACAGTCAGACGGAACCCCTATTTTTCCCCAAAAGAACTTCGCTAGTTGATACGACATGGGCAATTCTTCAAGAAAGCATTGCTTGGGGCAGCAGCAGCTACCATACTTTTGTGATCTTTGAGTCTTCCAAAGAATACAAGCAAACTGTTGAGCATGCCACTTGATCCCAGCCTATCCATCATGTCTACAACTAGAACCCCCCCACTGAGGGACTCACTAAGGAGATATTTCAGGGTCCTTCGCCGGCCAGTTGATCCTAAATCTATCCCATCCGGTGAACAAAGAAGTTGTCCACTTCTTTCCAACTAGCTTCGCTCCCTCAAGCAGTTCACGCTCATCCCAACCTCAAAGGACCGGGAATTGTTCATTTGACCGACTCAAAAGCCGCTACTTCGAAGAGGCGCCGCTACTTCGAAGATGACTTGGAAGAGGACAAGCAGCTTCTGCAATACCCCCCCGGCAGGAGAGGGCGACTCAGAATTGACTGCGGCGTGCGCAGCGTGGCGGATGGTTTACTTTGAAAGCGCTTGCTTTCAACTATTTGCAAGTTGAAACAGTGGAGAAGTCTTGTGGGCCTTTGGACTGTTGCATCTATTGCTTTGGATAGAGGTACACACCGGCTAAACAAGTATATATGTAATCAACCGGTTTGGGGGCAAAATCAGTCAGTCAGTTGAGGTTATCCAAATACGGATCTCAAAGCGCGCCATCATCATGGCCTCTGCTGCTTTCTTTCAGCGCCCGCATTTTGTTGTTTTTGTTTTTAACACATGTTAAACACATGTTACGACGTGTTACAACACATGATCAGGTAACATGGATGGCCTGACGACTGTTTCTTTCTTTTTTTCAACTGGGTACTAACTTATTTGGCAATAGTTGCACTGGTTTTGGTAAAAGTCTTGACCGTTGGAGTCCTGGAGTATTTGGGTTTCAAAAATCAACGGCCTGACGTCAGGTAGACTGTTTAGGGACGAACTTCCGACTTCCTTGAAACTGAGGACATCGTCACGACCGTCTGACTGGACCTTCTAGGCTAGACCGTCATGATCGTTCATGTTCACACGAAGTCCCCAGCACCGGAATCGGAACCCACCAAGCGCTGAACCATGCGCCGAACAAGGGTTCCAGTGTTCGGAACCTTTCAGCGACCCGCGCACCCGGCGCCCACGTCGCCCGGGGGGTTTCAATGAGGGTCAACCGCGCCCAGTGTCCTTCCCCGTCTCCGTTTGGGCACGGAGAACCACGCAGAATCCTGGCAATTGCGACGAAGTACCCAACAGAAAAGAAATGCCAACGGGTGAAGCTACAAGATACTAACGGTCAACATTCCAGAAAGTCATATGGAATACACAGTGCGGTGTAAATATCCTAGTCCCATGGAGTGTTTGGAACCGGATGTGTATTAAAACAAGTGAGACAGTCTCCAGTGGTGTCTCCCTGTTAAAGCACACACCCACACCCACATACCACGAAATCCCCGAAAGACCCGTCCCTCAGCCGCGCGGGTCATGGAACGTGCAGGAGGCTTGGCGGATATTGACCGCTGAAGGGGCCGCGGAGCGAGTGGGTCAGAGCGTATCTGGATGACCTGCACGTCCGACCTTTTTGGAACATTTGGGGACACTCCACTCAGATCTGTGGAAAGTTGGATAGACTCAAAGATCCCGAAAGCATGCGACCAAGTCGCATCCTCCAGAAAGGGCATTGATGGAACATGCAGGGGCGTGTGGCAGTTGTGTGGTTGATGTTGCACCAGATCACAGGCTACGACCAGATTGGAACCACCATTGTTTTCATGATGGGTTTTCACCGAAGAAGCATTATTCTAGGATCACTACAAAAGGAGGTCAACCAAACTTTCTTACCGGTCGATTAGAAGGCTGGGGAGAACGTTTTGTGCTTCTCCCGGGCAAAGTACTGGACCCATACGGCGTGAGATTACTATTCCCCACTGACCAAGTGCCACCATTTGCAATACATGAAACCCAGAAACTTGATGAACATTGCTGTTAATGTTGCTTTACTGTAAATTGCAGGAGATCCTTTTTCTGAGGTTGTATAGGATTTAAAGTCCTAGCCGGGAGGAGGAGGAGGCGGAGGAGGAGGAGGAGGAGTGTAAGAAGTAGTAGCAATATAGTAATGTATACAGTATACATATGTATACTGTAGTAAGTAGATGTAAGTAGTAATAATTAGATAGACTAACTTGTGCAGGTTAAGAACATTAAACAACACAGGCTGGGCGGGTACGGTCGAAAGACCTGACCCGGCAATGGGTGGAACCACTGATCAATCTTTCAGGTGTTCTTTTTAAAACTGTTTTTACTTCTTTTTTTCAATAGGTGTTTCTCCATTTCTCAACACGTTTCTGAAGCAACTTTTGAATTTGGTGATTGGCATCCATGTTCGCCTCCTTTCCACTGGTTGACATGACGTTTCACTTGTTGACCTGGTGCCAGCCATATTAGTCTCTCCTCTTAAACTCAAATTTTGAGCAGTGAGATAGAACAGAGAGATACTCTCGACTCGTCAGGACCACCCGGCGGCTTTCACCCCGACCCCGTCCCGGGTCCGGTTTCACCTCGGACGCGTCGGGGGACGGTCTCGCCGTCGTCCTCGCCGGTCTCGTCCGAAAAGACCCGAACGAAGACCCGGACGGCAGCGCCATGGAACGCCGAACCGTCGAAGCACCCCCATGCTCACAGATGCTGCATATGCTACACCTTGGACTGGTCAAGGAATGGCGGAATCGGCTCGGCCCGGATTTCAGGTGAGGAAAGGGAGTCGAGCTCGTAGCTCGTGAGACATGCCCGGGCCCGTATCGATAGCTTCATGCTGAGGACACACATATGAAGTGCCCGGTCCACGGTGTTTGATGCAACTTGCACACCACACATTCGGTATTTGTAAACGTTGCATCTCAGGAGGCCTTGGCCAAAGCATGTTGTGATTAGTGCTACCAAAAAGGATACGCTCAAACGAAGATGCAGGAATAGTTGTTGCTCTTAAATATCACACCCACACAATCGAAAGCGAATGACATACAAACATATACATATCTCATATAAACAAATACATCTATATACCTAATATATGCAGCGCCTGAGTCCGACGGTATCTTTCGACTGGTAGCATTAATATGGCCATGAGTCAAAACGTTTTGGTATGGAACATGTACTCTTGAACATCTCGTTCCATACCCCGTTCCATACCTGTGGAACAGCATGTCTGTTCGCCGTTCCATACCCATCGTTCCATACCTATGGATTCCTAGTTTACAATTGCTCGAGGTTCAATCAAAACGTGCGCTTTGCTTGCTGAAATACATTTACCGTGAGAAACGTGACTGAGATGACACGTCAGGTTTTTTGGTACAATTTGTTCCATACCCCCGTTCCATACCTGTTCCATACCTTATGGAACAAGGGATCCGTTCCATACCCTATGGAACAGGAAGGTGCGCGATGTTCACCTGAGACCCGGGGTTTTGACGCACACCCATATAGGTGTGCCTTGTGGCGATATATACAAAACAACCCTCAAACATGTTCTCAATACTATTCTGAGGTTGATCAAAGAAAGGCTGGACACAGAGGAAGGTAGGGGAAGGCATCGTTAATCCGAAACCTGATCTTCCCATTGACCTTTTTGATCAACCCCACAAGATAGAGCCACCAACCAGCCTGAATCTAAGCAAACACATGTATTCCACCAAGTGATTGTCAACGGACAAAAATAACAACATGTACGTGAGTGCCCTCAATGAGATCTGCATTTGACAGGTTGTTTGCACATGAATGACAATCGTGAGTCTCTGTCAAAACATATCGACGAAGCGTTCGTCCCTGTGACTCTTTGGGCTCCGAGCAACGACGAAGCGTCGGAGCGTGTTCTTTCGCGGCCGAGTCTGGGCGGTCCGCAATGCAGAGGTGGGGCGGTCTTGCATCCTCTAGCATCCTCTCAGGAACAAAAACGGGGTCAGGCTTGGCAAAACACGACTCAAATTGGCCGAATGAGCCCGGATGTGCGGTGTGAAGTGAGCCCGGATGTGCGGGTCCACCACCACTGCCACCGTCCCACCGCACAGGTCCACGAGCGCTGCTTTGAGCCTCCTGGGCTTGGGCGCTGCCTCCCAGGCAGCGAAAACGGACACCAGCAGTATCCAGCAGTGGTCGGTTTTGGGGGCCATGTCATGTCATGCATTTACATGCATTTACTATATATATATATATACATGTCATTATTGCTAGTGACTCATGACTCGTGATTGCCTATGCCATATGCCAGCAAGAGACATGAAAAGAGATGAACAGACCCTATTTGGTATTAAAAGGTCATCCCCTATAGAGGTCACTCAGGTTCCTTCCAGCGAATCCTGGTACATCTTACAAGCTCAGCCACCCCTGCCAGGCCTTTGTGGCGCCTGAAGTGCCACGACAGGCCGAACTGCGACAGAACTCCTCACTTCGTGACCCCCCAAATCCTCCGGGCGACCGCGACAGGACTCGGCGCTTTGGGTTTGCGGATTGGGAGGTTGGGAGGTCGGTTCCGGGGTTTCCCCTCGGCGAAACGGGGGGGAAGAGGCGGAAGAGGTCCATTGTTCTTCGACCATTTCCTGAATTGAATAGCGGCCAATCCAAGCCTAGGACCTGGGACGGGGTGGAAGGCTTCAAAACAGACCAACACCCTATACTGCGAAACCCATTGGGAGAAAACCCATTCGGAGATCTTCCGACCAAGGGCCTCGGCGGCAAGTAGATTTTTGACAACGTATTCTTGATGTAGGTCATATATATGGGCACCGCAAATTGGATTGGTGAAGATAGAGGGTCTCAAGCGAGTCTGTTTGGGTGGGCCTGTCTGACTTCATTGGCATCCTTCAAGATCCAGATATTATAGATCCTTAAACGTCCCAAAGCATCAATGGGACAGGATATGTTTGTTTGGGCTTGGACATGGGGCGGTTTGGATTCATCCGATGCGGCTCAATACAGTGGTTTCAGAGGAATGGCACAATCCCCAAGGGGTCCATATAAATAGCCACACCACCTTTGTGCCATCTAGAGCCCCAAAAGAGCATGAATTCTTGGGGTCCGGTGGCGAGAAGACGCTTCTGGTCGCCCGACGTCGAGCAGCCAACGGCCACAAAGGCAGGATTTCCCACCCCAGGACCGTCCACCACTTCCGATTGGAATCGGCCGAAGGACTTAGACCCGGGAAGAGACCCACATGGAACCTGAGAAGAAAGACCGGTGGGGTCAAAACCATGCAACCCGGTTTTGGGGGTTCCATGTGGCCTTTGCAGAAAATAGATAGACCATCTTATGTTTCTTGTGCTAGCAGCATGTGCCATTTCCTGCAGGCTGGTGATTTGGCGGGCGTCATAACAAAACCAATGAAAAGCCTACAGGGTCAACAAAAACAGATCCGCATAGGGGGACCTGTGATGGGTCCCGCTCTTTCTTCTCAGGCTCCCTGTGAATCTGGTTGGGGTTAGCCTCGTGGGCCGGACCCTCGTGGCAGATCTGGGACCGGCCCAGTGAACGACCCCCGCTTCGCACGCCCAGCACAAGTGAAAGCTACACTGTTTAAGCAAAGGCACACGGGGCTCAAGACCAAAAGCTCAATCCCAGGGCTGCCGGCTTGATGAATGCCTTGGCACACCACAGCAAACTGACAACCAACGCGGTCCATGTGGCCGCGATGGCCATGGCTCCTGTACCCTGATTCACCGGAAGGCCCCTCAGCGAAAACGAATCCCACACCACTGCGGTACCCATCCACCCAGCACGGCATCAGGAATCACCAAACAAAACATAAAGGGCCATGGGAACATATGGGAACTGGAACCCAATGCTGTAAATAAATGTGTAAAGACAGTCTGTGGCATCTGTGGCTCTGGGGTTGCCTTCGGTATTCAACCAGAGACAGCGAGAGCCACCACAAAACACAAAATGCTTAACAATCCTCCAAGAGGTCTCAACTTGAAAAGGTGTCTCTTCATCAGTGACACCACCGTGTCAGCCGAGAGATGATCCATGGTGGGCAACAGGAAGCTCAAGGTCTTTCCTCCACCGGTCTCCGCTCTAACGACCAGGTCCTGGTGGCAAAGGAATCCATCCACAGTTGCTCCGGATGAGACATTTACTAGTAGCTTCTTGTTACTAGTAGTAATTAGTAATGCCGCCCTTGTTACTAGTAGCGACGGCCTCCAACCTAAGTGCTCTGCCATCATTTCTAGGCACCGCACGACGGCCGATGCGGGGGGGGGCCCTTCACCGGCGGATCCGCCGGGCCAGCAGGGGTTTCTTTGGGCTCCGGAATAGGAAGACTCCCCCAGTTCAATCCCCTTCAACAAAAAGGGAAATAGGCATAAAATTAGACTATGCCCATTGATGAGGCGGTCTCCTCTAAATATACACACCCACATCCTCAGAGGGTAGTCAAAACCCCGCCCCGCACCCAGCGACATCAACTACCTTCTCACTTTGAAGCGTCCCCGGGCTGTGCGCCTGCAGTATGTGTAAAGGTAGGACGTCGGGCACTGGCACACCACGTGAGGGCAAACAGGTCTGCAAGCCTCTGCTTTGCCAGGCTTCCTGCTTGGGCTAGGTCACTAGGAGGCCGCCCTCCGACTCTG